CCTTTTTTTCTCGCGTACACTTTTCTTTTCTAAAATATGAGTATCATATCTTTGCTTCAATTCATTTTTGATTTATTCATGACCTTGTAGGTAAGTGACACATAGAGAACACTGGTCTTTCTTTGGACTAAAAAAGGATAAGTTTTGCCTTTTAAAAACTTTTCTATATAAAGAATTACTTGGAATTTTGGTACATCCTTCAAGTTTGAGCTTCTGGAGAAACATGTCAAACATTTTTCTTAAGGAAAGATCTGGGTAAAGATATTTTCTTGTGGTTTTAGCACGACAATAGTGCGATTCGACTCTTGGAAAACTATTAATGTGAGCTTCTATTTGAGAATTCATTTGCCTTTCTTGTTTTTTAACAGCTTCACTTGCATGTCTACCTCCTCTCAGATCTTTTTCCAAAATTCCTAGCTTGCTCAATTTGGATATTGCAGTGCGACACATCCTCTCCGACACGCCCAACGTATTCAAGAAAAATGTTTTACATACCGTATAAGACTTATGTCCTACTGTGAGACAATAACTTAATGTATGACATCTACGAGAACATCTCTGAAACGGGCCAGTGGTCTATCGTCTTCAGATTCGGAATCATGTGCATCATAGTACATTTCTTTATACTTTGACAATGGTATCTCGTCTTCCGAGACGTATGATTCACTTGGCTCTTCTATCGCTATAACCTTGCCTTGCTCTTCTATCGCTATAACCTTGTCCATATACCACTGGTTTTCGTACAGCATTTTGACTGTACCTCCAAGTCTAATTAGCTTACTTTTATGTGTTTTTAAGTCTTTAGAACACACGACATTTTTCGTGCCATCGGTCCACAGTACATCCATTTTTTATACAAAGCACTTATTTGTTCACAGATTAAAGCAAACACCAGAATCATACAACCACGTGTAAGCTTGTATTTTGAGGTTATGTGTATCATGCGGTCATAGTGCTAATAAGGCTGATTTGTAGATACGCTACAAATTTTTAAATCTCCTTGGACCTCGGCATATATGACAAAGCGACGTATGTGTTCTTACGCCTGTACGTCATATATTAATTAGCATTTTTTCAGATACGTCAAATGATTAATCGGGATTTTTGATAAATATAGCAAGAATACAGATATGTTGATTTGTCATATGAAACGCGTACAAAAATTATACTATATGACGGCGCAACACAATTTTCGACTTTTTGACACATACGTCGGTATGTCGTAAAGGGGACGATTTGATTCAGTTACTCTACCATGTGATTTGTCTCTGAACTGAAGTTCTAGTTTTTCAGGTCAACACTCGCTGGCCCAATCTAGGTAAAACGAGGTCTTTCCTATCCGTTTCTGAAGGACCAAAAGCTCTGCGCTGAAAAAAGCCACACATAGCGCCATCTAGCAGTAGAAAGCTGAACCGTGGAGAGAAGGCCATAGCGGAGCCTCTGCAGTTACCCGTTTTATGAAAACATTAGCAATCAATACAATGGGAGTTTTATAGTCGATAAAGGCCGTTCCCAGCTCGGAATGGCTTGTAAAATGAGCCACGAATGTTTCTACTTGCGACGTGCTTGTGGAATAAGCTGCAGTTACGTTGTTTATTCGCTATAAACACATATTTTTATGGTGGGACGGGTTTTTTCGCTTTGCCGGCCGGGTTTTGGTTTGCATGTTGACTTTTGTTGGCAGTATGGGGTCGAGATTATGAAATTAAACGTGCTAAATTGCTGTAAACTGTTTATTATTGACTCGTTTATAAAAGCGTTAAATTAAAAAGAACTCTGGATATTGTAGCAGTTTCACAGAACTCCACACACAGGTTTTCTTCTTTAAATTTGGGTTTTGTGATGACAGTTTTTAGCTCTTGACTATCCAAATACGTCTATCTATCTAGAATAGACTGCCTTTTTAATTGGTGAAATAGAATGTTTGAATTTTCAAGTGTGGATGCAGCGCGTGGCCTAGGAAAAAAGCGTATTTGAAATTCATATGTTGGAAGAGAACATCCTGTAATTCCCGCTGAAGATTTGATTATTTTAGATACCGATAGAAAGTGAGTATACATTTCTTGTAAAACTGTCAACGTTAATGATTAAAGGTTATTTTCTTATCATCAGTCTGAAACCTAACATCCAAGGCAAGAGTAGGGTCACATCCTTAGACAGGGCATGGATAAAATTATTACGACACACATTTGAAGCGAAATAAATAATACGTTTCACGTTTGAAGGGACAGTTTCGCTGCTTCTAGTCAGTGATGGTGCATTGTATCTGTCATATAAAGTACATCATTGTTGTGTAATTGCATACGTCTTGATATTCATCAATGTATAGACAGTAGAAATTAATTGTTCAATTAAGGTACCCGGGGCCCGGGGGTAATAAGGCCCACCAGATATTAAGGCCCAACGCTGGTTTGCCCAAAGGAAAGCGCCTAAAATATTTATATCGCCATCTGTTAATAATATTTAGTATTACTGTTGCCGGAAATGTAGTTTTGTTCTATGGTGTCACGTTTCGCTGTGCTGTATTTTATAAGAATTTCGACCGGTAAGTAAGCAAATTAAATTGTTTTAATAATACGTAGATTTTTCATTATGAATGCATGATAATCTATGTATCTGATAGTTTCATTTTACGTAGCGTTTCTTTTTATTTTGGTTTGTTTGTTGTTTAATAACCTCAAAATTAATTTTATTGTGCTACAGGTTATAAGGCCCGGGCCTTATTTTCTACAATGCATTGAAAAAGACTTGGGCTTTATTTTCTGCCGCCATGAATACACGTATTAATTAGATTTATTTATTCTTTTACAGAAGATGGGTAAAAAAAGCAGAGGGATAAGGGCAAATTGGGATGAAGAGATGATGAGAGAGGCATTAAATTATATTAACGAGGGAAAATCTCAGCGCTGGGTGGAACAAAAACGCGGAATACCCAGTCGAACACGTAGGAACCACATTAAATCACAAAGCGTGAAGAGAAAACTAGGTAGACAAACAATTTTGACCGATAATGAAGAAACTGACCTTGAGAATAAAATAATTCGGCTAGCCGATAAAGGTTTTCCGCTAACACCAAAAGCATTAAGAAGGTCTGTGTTCAGGTATGTTGAGCAAAAGAAAATTAAGCATTGTTTCAATCAGGAAACTCGTCTCGCTGGTAGGGAGTGGGTAAGGACTCCGAGAATATCAAAACGTCGATCTCAATTCATGAATCCAGCAAGAGCCCAAAAATTAAATCGTTTTATCGTAGAAGATCATTTCAAAAAACTAGGAGATTTGTTGGAGCGCACTCAGTTAAAAAATAAAGAAGCAAAAATTTATAATATGGACGAGAAGGGTTGCCGCTTGACTCTTCATCACCAACAAAACGTTCTGGCAGCCAAACGAGCAAAACGAGTGCATGTAATTTCTCATGAACACGCCGAAAACGCAACTATCGTCGCTTGCGCTAATGCTCTCGGACATGCCATAGCGCCTGTCATTCTTTTTAAGGGCAACAGAATGAAGCCAACCTACTCAGATGGCTTACCGGCTGGCTCAAAAGTTATGATGACGCCTAAAGGGAGCATGACGATGAGAAACGTTTGATAAGTGGTTAGACCATTTCATTGAATATATGTCGCCTCCGCCAGTAATTTTAATTTTTGATGGGGCCAAATGCCATTTGGATATTAGCATTGCTGAGAAAGCAGAAGCTCATGAGATTCACTTATATTGTCTGCCGAGTAACACCGCCCATGAGCTTCAGCCGATGGACAAAGTTATATTTCGAGCATTTGAAGCTTATTGAGACGATGAATTGTTATAGTACTGGGATAAATATCCTACACGTGATTTAAACAGGGAAAGATTTTCTGAAGTTTTTACACCTACATGGCAGAAAGCAATGTCCATTGGAAATATTACAAGCGGCTTTCGAGCTACGGGAATATGCCCTTATGATAAGGATGTTCTTCCCATTGAAGCATTTGCCCCAAGTCTTGCAACTGAGAAACCTTACCAGGAGACGACCGCCGCTGCCGATGATTCGGAATATGATTCAGATGACTACCTGCCTTTAGGTGAATTGCGTAAAAGATTAATCCCTTTGAATAATTCCTTCGCGGAAGTGTTACACCAGATCTAGTCAAAAAAAAATCTGCTCCAAGACGTAAAGCTATAAATTACAAAGCAGCTGAAGTCAAGCGATCCGTATTTTTAAAGGAGGTGGAGTCTCAAGTTGATCCCGTTCCAGTCTTATCGAATACCGCTAAATCGCCATCTAAATCTGTGTCGTCCATTGCATCAAAAACAAAAGAACATAACGAAGAATGGTACTGTGTGATTTGCTACGAAGACTATGCAGCAGATATGAGACGATGTGCTTCTTGTGGTTTTTGGGTCCATGAGGATTGTGCTGGTTTGACTGCGGACGATACTGAAAATTTTTTGTGTCCAGACTGTATGGCTTAAGTATTAGATTTATACTTAATACCATATTTTATCTTTGATACTGTTTTTTTAGTGTGTTATATATATTTTTTATTCTATCAGTATTTTGTTGAACTGTTATTTTTTTTATCTCTCATTCAAATCTCATTATATGTCGTTGCAGATATTAAGGCCCAAAGGAATATTTTTGATATTTATGTTTGGATATCATTATTTTAATATTTTCTTTTTATTTTTTGATTTTTTTTGTGTTTTGTTTATTCGTTTGACTTGTTTTTTGTTCATTTAAATATGGGCCTTATTATATGCACTTGCAGGATTTAAGGCCCAGAAGACAATTTTTTTAATGTTCGCGTCTCGACATGTAAGCATGATTATTTTGTGTTCAAACATTACCATTATGTTAGTTTATACCCTTTTCTATTTTTTATAATAATAAAAGTTTGAAAAAGTAAATTTCTCTCGTAGATATTAATTATAATTTCTTAGGTGGTCCTTATTACCCCCGGGTACCTTAGGTATCTCGCATATATGTTACACCAGTAAAAGAGATTATAGTTTATAGTTTTGAATAAATTAATCTCAATATGGCGCTCCGTGTAAGAATTCCTCGTGGCACGTGTTCTTTGTTCCGTTGTTTGGAGAAGAGGATTAAACACTCAGAGATGGCACCATGCATACGCTGGATTGATAGGGCACGGACTGATACAGTACGCATCAAGAAAGAGGAAGCCTATCAAGATAGTCAAAACTCGCAAACTAGCATACTTCGGACATGTGATGAAACATCGCCGACATTCTGCAACTCGTCAAGCAAGGGAAAATTAATGGTAAGAGATAACCAGGAAAATGCAAATCGTTCTGGCTGAAGACCCTGCGGCAATGGTTCTTCGGTCAATTAATCATATCTCTTGTTGGAGCTGCCATTTTTCTTTTGTTCTTAGAGTGGCTTTGATGCTCCAATGCTAAAAATGATCAATTTGGTCAACCACTAGTAGTGATATTTTTTTATTCAACGAATGCGTCGTAAGAAGAAAAAACTTGTACAATGAACAAACATTTAAAAAATGCTTAAAGGACGACTTTAGGGTAGAAAAGTATAAAAACTTATATACTAGTTTTTAAAATAAACGAGAAACTCATCAATGCTGTAAAAGCAGCCTTCCTATAAGATATTTTCTAACTTTCTTTTAAATTTATTCAACGACGTAACCTCACGCATGTCGGCAGAAAGCAGGTTAAAAAACATGCAACCAGCATAAACTGGAGACTATTTATAGTACATGTGATAAACGTATTGTTAATCAAATTGTCTTTGTTGCGAGTATTGTAATTATACGTTATACGTATCGGAATGTTTTTTAAAATTGTTTTTATTTGGGAAAAAATACATTAATAGCTTCAAAATATAAATAGATTCCACAGTAAGAATATCGTAACGTTTAAATATTTCCCTGCAAGACGACTGATAGTGAAGTTTAAAAATTAGGCGGATGATTCTTGTTTGGAGGATAGGAACAAGCTGGACGTCTTTAGCCTGCCCTCACAATATGAAAAAGCAGATTATCCTAACGCATAATGGACATTCATCATATCTAAGGTATTTTTAAGAGGATTTATTACAAAACAACGTTTACCAAGCTTTGCACATACGCAATTAACATTTTCCTAGTCTAAAATGAAACCTAAGAATTTAAATGCCATGGATGGTTTTAAAGGTTGTAATTACAGATACAGTTTTTTACAGTTGACGCGGTTCTTATTTAACCATTCATCAAATCCCTTTATCACAATGTTTTTGTTTTTTGCTCCAGGCTTTCCGCTGAGTCAGCAGATACAGGTTTCATCAGCATATAAGAATCACTGATATCCAAAGTAAGGTCATTAACAGACAATGAAAACGGCAAAGGACCTGAGACACCACTTTTTTACTTTTTTTAAACTTGCGCATATCCTCTTTTTTAGACAGAAAACACTACACAAGCTCTTAAAGCTTGGTCCTCCTCAATGGCACTGTAGATGTTGAAAAGCTTCTGCATTCAAGTGTTGATGTAGCTTTTTTGTGCTAGGCCGCTTCTTCCTTGATTTCGTTGATAACCAGAGGGATATTCAAATCGCAATCTTAAAGCTTTTTGAGGACTTTGATTTCAGGATCAAAGTTTTGTATAATAAATACTGCAACATTGTACATGAGAAAACGCTGAAATAAAGCTGTAGACTAAATAGGTGTAGTTATCATATACTAAGTGACATATAAATCCGAACACGAAGTTTAAATGGTTTTATTTTAATAAAAGTTGGTGAATGTATTTATCTTACTGTAAATAACAAGTGAACAAATTTTCAGCCTCATCAGTTGGACATTCCGGTTTTACTTATTATGCTTCATTAAGTACTTATACAAAATTTTATTAAAATAAAACCATTTAAACTGGGTGTTCGGATTTATATGTCACTTAGTATACATATATATATATATATATAGGTGAACAAATTAAAGCTTCCGCACACGCCCACAATTCGTTCCATCTTTCAACACAGACATTGACATCCTTCGGCCTTCTGTCAAAGGGTTTCATCTCACTCATTATTCCATGACCACTAATTTGTGCAATCATCAAGTGGCTTCACGATGTAATGCTCTAATGTTTTTTTAAATAATTTTTAATCTGTTTTTAACTTGTTCTTGTCATATTTTATATAATTTTGACCATTGTACAATCTATCCAGCTCTCACCATGTTACTGGACGTTTCCCTCATCCTATACGTAAACAACAATTAGCAACATCCTCACATACTACTGTAAGTTGAGTCAATTTAAATTCATTTTACACTTTTGTTGCTACTGTTATCATTGTAATTGCAGCTCCTGATGATGATGGCAAAGTCCATTGAAAGCTAGAGAGAATTAAAAAAAGTATAAAGAGTCCTCTTTGCTTAAATTTTGTCGAAGTACCCAACAAAAGGCGGAAGCTTTAATTTTTTCACCTAACTGGTCTAGACGACAATGACCACGTCTCAAGTTATATATTCGAAGTTGAGTCATTTATTTTAACAGTGAGTAGATCTGATCAAAAGAAATGTTTTTTTCCTTTACCATTTTTCTGGTAAAATTAAAGCAACAAAGTTATAGCCCTTTGGAAGTTTGAGTACCGCCCTGTCTCAATAACATCATGTGCTGGTGTTTGGCAACAACGGATATAATCCACCTTATCGGTTCATCGCATCGGAAACAAAAAAGCGAAAGAATTTGGAACGATGTTTACTTTATTCAGTTCAGTTATACATACAATCAGTGTCAGTCGCGTGTGAATAGTATCTGTTGCGTGGCTCAAACGAAATAAAAAATGGCACATGTTTATGCGGATCGGTTTCCCAATCGAGTGCAACCAACCCCTCGTGCCTTTGTTAATAGTAGTACAACGGGCTCGTGAATCAGGTGACTTCAGACCTCACAGGGGACCTCACGATCAAATACAGGTCCGCACTGAAATACTTGTCGGGAGGATACTTTATAAAACAAGGTAAATTTTTTTTTTTTATTTTTTTTTTTACACACATATTTTGGTTTATCTTCCTTCTACAATCATTATCTGAAAATTAATGACTCAACTTCAAAGTCACCCTGTATATATATATATATATATATATATATATTCATACAAATAAACACATAAATAGATGCACACATATACGAGTATATGAACGTTGGAGGGTTTTTACTATTACATTAATTTTTAATTTCTTTCATACGTATCAGGTTTGCAATTTGATGTCGATTTTTTTCAATTATAAATTTTTTGGTTTCAATTTTGAATTTTGTTTTATTTGAATTGAATAATTTTGATGTGGTATTTGGTTTTAAGATATGACTATAGATTTTGTTATGGAGCGATAGTCTGAGCATCTTCGGAATAGCCAATAATATTGCTTGTCGTTCTTCTCTCCTTCTTTTTTGATGTAGTGCTTCCAATTGAACTATAAATATTTAGCGTTTGACTCCATTGGCTCTGGTACCGTTAACGCCGATTTGTCAATCTTCGATTTGTAAAGCGAACCTGGATCGCTTTCAATTCTTTCAATTCGATTTTGCACCTCTGCGTCCATTTCACTAAATTATAGGTAGCAGTCTGTACTTTATTGTTTGTACGTTTGAATTATTTCCTAAGCTGCAGTACCTTCGGCATGCTATTTGCATGTTCATGCTAAATTGCAGCTTTTCCCGATGGCGTTCTGATAACGCCCAGCAATGGCTGGTAGCCTAATGGCCTAAGTATACGTCGCGTGGAGAATAATGAGAGTAATCAGGTTATTTACATTAACGGAGGATTTAGAATCACACTGTGCATGTTAAATCATTAACTGTATGACAGCGTATGTCGCCTCCGGGGATTGAAACTCATTATCTGGCTATGCAAAATATAGTTGTTTTGCTTTTATTTACGGCGAAAGCTGCGTGGAATGGAAATGAAGTGCGTTTATCGAAATATTGGCATAATGTCGATGGAAGAAGCTTTAGGCGGTTTGATGACTCAGTAGTTAGAAGCTTTCTATTCAAGCAATGGGAAGCATTAAACCAAGTCTTATAGAATTTAATGTAAGCAGAGGCTTAACCTGAAGCCACCCGTTAGAAAATTTCATAAGGGAAACAGCTGGGAATTATTTTCAGCTTCCTAAAATCGCCGCTAGGGGGTGTATTTCCAAACTCAAGCGCCATTATTTTGGAAAAACGCATAATTAACGTACTGATTTAATAACTCGATGATACTGATTGTCCAGTTTTCGAACTTTTATCTCGATGTAATTTCTTCCGTATTTTGTTTCGTTTAGAGTGGATGAAGAGTTTCAGAGAAAGTAATATAACGTCTGTTTGGCTGCACTGATTTTCACGACCTTGGTTTCATTCGAAAGAACTTGTGAAATTAGTTCACTGTGCGGCCACTAAATAGCAATTTCAGGATGTGTCACATAACGGTATACTTTTTAATATTGCTCGGAAAGAGCAAAGAAAATCCTGTAGAATCGCGTAAACCGCAGATCAATACATTTGTTATGAAGATACATATATTGAGAAATATGCTTAAACTACAATTTTCAAGTACTACCGGATTAAAAGAAAACATGAATAGTTATGTAAAATGTATCATTATGATACAATTTCAAGATATTTTAATTAGAAATTTCTTTTTACGCTTTTCATAACCGATGGGGGTCCTCAGTGTCGCCTGATATATATAAAAGACACTTCAATATTTTACCTCGTAATTTAACTCAGTTAAATTGCTGTTATATCCATTGTAATATTATACAAGGTGTTTCAGTTTATTGTTGCATAACTTTAAGATTCGATAGAACTTTTAAAATTAATGCATATAGTCTATATAAACATGGGTCGAAAAATGCGTGGTTTCCGAAATACAGGGTGTTTAAATTTCTATCTAAAATAGTTTTTTTTAAATATTTCGAACAATATTTGATGTATAACAGTGAAAATTGGTATACAAGGGTTTTTTGGTACGACAAAACGGACCATGGGCATAGTTTTATTGTAGCCGCTAGAGGGCGCTCTCTACTGTACCTGTAGTGTATTAAAATGACCGAAAAATTTTTTCTTAGTGCAATTTTTTGCTTCTTGAATAAAAAACTGATTCTTCGCACTTTTCTGCATAATAAAGATCTCCTGTGAGTTTTCGTTATCGTTAGCCGTTTTTGAGATATTTCGATTTTTAAGGGTCGATGCATTTTTAATTATTTATGGGAAAATAATATTTTTTTTACATTTTCGATTTGGGCATTACAAGTAATTAAGATGATCGTTTAGATTGTGTT